GGGCTGCCGGGAGCAGCGGGTGCCCGCCCGGACCCCGCGCGGCCGCCGCAGCGCGTCCCGCCCGGCTCGGAAAGTTTGCGCTCTCTCTGGCCCGCGGCTTCGCAGCCTCTGGGTCGCGGTCCAGGCAGGAAGGAGCTGGGGGAGGGGGTTGAAAGTTGCGGGAGGGAGAAAAAACTTGACTCTGCATCTCCTGATTTGTCTGCTGTACCACATGACTTCGACAAGATGTCACCTTCCGTGGGACATCTTGCAGTCCCTCGGCTGAGCTGAACAGCACTTTGGAGTGCTTTCTTCTCCACAGGGTCCCATCACCCAGAAATACTCCCCACCCCCCAAAAAGCGTTAATGTAATCACATTTGGGCGCGGAATGCAATGCTCCACTACCTGAGCGACATAGTATTTCTTGGGGAGGTTGCTTTTAGCCTGCTTTCAGGCTAATTCCCGCTACTGAATAAAATGATTTTGTTGATTTTTACTGAAATCCTTAGGGAAATTTTTCATTTGCAATTAAAAAAGTGATTTAGACTGAGATTGGGAGGCCTTGTGCGTCTAAAGAACACTTTGAATCACCTCTCCAAAGAATGTGTCAGAAGCAAATAACTTCTCACCGTGCCCAGGGAAAAAGAATACTGCCTCTCTCTCATGCACCTAGAGAGCGAGCCTGCAGTGCATTATTGCATTGCTTGTGGACACCTAAGTTTCTCTGATAAGTAATTGATTTCATTGATTGATTTCCAGTATGTTGACGGAGCTGTGGTCTGGATAGCTCCTAAAGTTTTTGTATATGGAATGTTAGCATGTAGTGTAAAATTACTGGGAAGTTGCGTGAACACACAGCATTTAAAAACAAATTAAAATAAAACCATACCAAAAAAGGTTTAACCCAGAACCCTTGTTTACATCCTTCTTGTCCCATTCGTATTAGGAATTGAAAACAGATGTTCGACTTTCACAGCACCAGCTTGATTAGAATTACTGTCTTAGTCTCAGCGTTTTCCTGAAAGGGGTCAAAGGGGATAATGAAATGTTTTGCTAGAAGGTCAATTTCAGCTCCTGCTGGGAGTCTGGCTGCCTGAGTTAAAATGGTGTCCTGAACAAACACCTTAAGTAGGTCAGAGTAGAGTCTACATACACTTACTTTACTCAATTACAAATGTATCCATTAATGTATACAGTCTATATTACATAAGTGTGTATGTACCTCTGCATTTACTGAGCTGTTTTCTGGGTCTAGCACTGTGCTAAGGCGGTAGGAACATATTTTAACAAACACATATTTCACATTTATACAGAACTGTTTCAAAATAAAGTTTATTTGAACATTTCAACCAGATGAACCTAACAGACTCTGCCACTGGCTTATCACCTTTTCCCTTCTTTACTAAATCACACATTATTTTTCAATTTAGAGTAAGATGTTCAAAAAATACTTTTCTGCAAATGCAGAAAAATGACAGAGATTGAGTGCCAGGTTATTGTAGAATTTTTGAGCGGAAGAAACCTTAAAAGTTACTGCAGGGGCAGATGTATCAGCTAGAAAATCTTGAGTAGCTTCTACAACTTAAATGTTCATTATATTTTTTTTTATGGTTTTTTGTTTGTTTGTTTTTGTTTGTTTGTTTTGTCTTTTTGAGACAGAGTCTCGCTATGTAGTTCAGACTGGCCTTGAGCTCACTTTGTAGCCCAGGCTGGTTTCGAACTCGCAACAATCCTCCTGCCTCAGCCTTCCAAGAGCGGGGATGACAGGCTTGTGCCACCACATCTGGCTTAAGTGTGCACTGTAATGGGGAGCTTAATATTCTTCCAAATGGCCATCCTGTGGTTGACAGCTTTAAATAAAGAAAATTGTCCCCAATTTTCTTATCTTCAAGACATACTAGCTTGGTTTGGATATTGGGATCTTCTGGAAGTTTTAGCCTTCTGGGAAGATAATTCTACTTTATAGAATTATTGCAGGAATTAATTGAAGTGCTACAAATGAACTTTGTAAGTGTTGCAGTGGTATATATTACTTGACAAGGCTGTTGTTAGAGAAGTACCATAAATATTGAGATTCACAATTGTTTTAGTAATAATTTCTATGCATTTTCCTTTTCTCCAGGAAAAAAAGGTAACTTTTTCCATAATTTGGGCTTAGAGTTAGGATAAGAACTATAGACCTGCACCTTGCTGTTATGCCTGTTATGCTAATTTTATATGTGTCTGCATTGATACATCTAACAACATTAAATCCTTCAATGAAGTTGAATGAAAAGTTCCCTTGCTTAAGTCTGAACATGAAGGCTTTCTCCAATTTTCTGTACATTTTAAGTAATTTTTAAAGCCTATCCATTTCATGAATATATTTCTTGCCAGTAGGAATTTGGGATACAATGGCCTAAAAAGCAGACTTGATATTACCACATTAGCCTGGTTCATTATTCCCACCACAACTACTTCTAAGGTTATCTGTGTTTAATAAAGTATTTAATCTGGTAAAATTGTACATTTTGAAATTGTCCTTACAATCAACTAATTTGTGTCATATACAAACTGTTAGCCTTAAGGCTTCTAAGCAGGAGAACTAAATGTGCAAAAACAGTACTGCAAGGCACTTTCTCGTTCTTCTGTGCTCATGTAAAAATGTTGTAAGTGAGGGAGTATGTGGGAAGGTTTAATTTATAGATTGTATTTAGAAATTTTTATTAATGCCTGAATCTCAAATCCAGGAGATAATTGTGGGCCACACAATTGCTAGTAGTTGAATTAATAAGGAAGCTGAGAGGAGTCTTATCTTCAAATTTAGCTAGGTCAGAGATTGTAAAAAAAAAATCCTCCTTTCTCTTAAAATGATGATCCCTGTGGCAGCAGTTATGATGTCATTTTCAAGATTACAGTATAAAGTAGCTCCCAGAGAGCTTTCCCCACTGGCAACTAAAATCTCAAAGTCCATTCATTTTGTAAGTGTGAGGACAGTCCCTCTATTCCCTTAATTATTTTAACTACCCATCTTTAGCTGTCATATTTTTCTTGATAAATCATAGGGATGTATTTCCTGTGGTTTGACACAAGGATAAAACAAGAGTGTTCTGTGTTACATTCCATACCCAAGATGCCTAGGGGCATCTTTAGATATAGCCATACATAGGATTAAAAGGTTCAGGGATCCCCTATAAAAATACCCATTTATATCCTATAGTTTTTCTCACTTCCTCTCAAATTATGCTCTCCTAATCTTACTAGTCTTACTGAAGTCTTACTAATCACCTTCCTGCTGTGTATGCAAGACATGTGAGCAATTTGTATTTATTTGTTTGCTTGACATTTTTCTACAGAGAATGACATCATGTCCTTGAAGATTCCTTCTTGTAGACATGGGGTCACCCTGCACCTTCACTATTCATCAGAATAGAGCTTTGGAGGACTAGGGATGTAGCGCAGTGATAGAGCTCGTGCCTAGAATATTGGAGGCCCAGGGTTCAGTGTACATGCACAAGTGCAAATGCCTGGACCCTACACCCATTGGAGAGGATCAGGCATTTTTCAAATGACTTAGATGACTCTAGTGTACAACCAGGGTAGAACGCCCTGATCCCATTACTTTATAAATACATTTCTTAATTTTGGGCTCAATCTCTGAGGACTCACTGTTAAAAATCTGCTTTCCGATTTAGAACCATAATTTTTTTTTTTTTTTGTCTTTTTGAGACAGGGTCTCGCTATGCAGTTCAGGCTGGCCTTGAGCTCACTTTGTAGCCCAGGCTCCTCTCGAACTCACAACAATCCTCCTGCCTCAGCCTCCTGAGTGCTGGGATTACACGCATGTGCCACCACACTCAGCTTTTTAGAGCCATACATTCTTAACCTCTTATTTTCTAAATTCCCAAGTATGGCAAAACTTAGTTTTTCCAATTCTTCACCAACTCAGTTTTTCTAACACTTGGTGTATTGTTTTGTTCGAGACATTTGGGGAAGCTATTAATCATTGGCTTCCTACTCAGCCACAAGCTTGTGCTGTCACTGCCGCTCCCAACTCTGGTTGTCTTTATATCCACAGGTGTCTTGGCGCATCCTCAGTAAACACTTTCAATTCTTCATTAAAGTTTGGTCAAACATTGTGCATATTCAGCGCATCTGTGTTGTTGACCCACAGTAAGCAGTCATGACTTGACTTTACTGAAGTGATCTGACCTTTTATTATCAAACACATAGTTGACCGAGGTTTGCCAATTCCCATATTAGCCGTTTGTATTCTTAACATCTAATGCATTTTCTGTTTCTCTCTGTATTGTAGTTGCTGAGGCTCAGGCAATGGCTGAAGAAAGGAGAAGTCAAAGTGGAGTTAGTTCTTTGAGCACTCATTCACCAAGTATCAGATCAACAGTTAAACCTGGTACAGTTTCTCTAATACTTTGATAGATGTCAGAATGTCATATCTTTACCATTTGATATGTTAATATCTCTGTGTATTTTTTTTAGTTATAGATGGGTCTGTGCTTAAAAATGATATAAAACAAAAGCTAGCGAAAGAGCGGAGAGAAGAAAAAAAAAGACAAGAAGAGGGTATGTTTTCAATTTTCTTAAATTAATGGATTTTGTGTAAAGTTTAATATTTCTGAATTGTTTTTACTTCTTTTCCTATGTTTATATGATAAATTATAACTTCTATTATGTATGTTTATTATATTGGATTAAATCTATTGAATAAATCAGATTTTTAAAAGCCTAGGAAAAATCTTTGACTAGTTGGGCATGGTGGTTCATACCTGTAATCCCAGTACTCAGGAGACTGAGGCAGGAGGATTGCTGTGGGTTCAAGGTCAGCCTGGGCTACATAGTGAGTTCAGAACCAGCCTGAACTACATAGCGAGACCCTGTTTCAACAAAACAAAACAAAACGAAGCAGTCTTTGACTAAATTATTTTTGAAGAGTTAGTTTGTTACCTTTAATTTTCTGAAAACTAAGGTACAGTTATTTTAACATTTGTAAAAATAGATCAAAAAAGAATTCAATAAAAGATAATTCTTAAAATGAAAAAAAGAAAAGCTGTCTTTTTACTGAATGCTGTGGTTCTAAAATGTGATTTTTTAAATAAATTACAACCTGAAAGAATGATCTTTCAGTCGGGCATGGTAGCACATGCCTATTGTCCCAGCATTCAGGAGGCTGAGGCAGAAGGCTCACCATGAGCTTGAGGTCAGGCTAGGCTACATAGTGAGCTCAAGGCCAGCCTGAACTACATAGCAAGACCCTGTCTCAAGAAAATAAAACAGCCGGGCATGGTGGCACACGCCTGTAATCCCAGCACTCGGGAGGCTGAGGCAGGTGGATCATTGCGAGTTCAAGACTAGCCTGGGCTACAAAGTGAGTTCAAGGCCAGCCTGAACTGCATAGTGAGACCCTGTCTTAAGAAGACAAAAAAAAAAAAAAAAAAGAAAACCAAAAAAAGAATAAGCTTTCTACAACTTGAAAGTACTTTTCAATTACGAATCTTTCTTCTTTGATCTTCTGGAGCCACTGACAAAAGTAGTACTCAACTTTATTCAAGTTCTGTTTGTTTTGATGGAGAGGATGTCCAAAGAGAGAGTACTGTCTTAGGGAGAATATTTTACAGCTGCATAGATACTCTCCAGGTTTTAGTGAGGGAAAATTTGAATATAAGAAAATGTGATTTCTATAATACGATATATGGCTAACTAAACCCATGGCCTGATAGGTGCAGACTTAGAAAGAAGCTTACTAGTAGGTGGAGGCAAAGCATAGATTCTGGCCAGGTATTTTTTTCGTTTATATTTTTAAATATAGCATATTAATCTGGAGAAGTTTGACTTCACCTCAAGCTAGCAAAAATATCACATGAGAGAAAGTATTTCTTTTTAATTTGGAATTTTAGTTTGGACCGGATGAGAGTCATCTGGCTTAAGAGACCCCAGGTTCTCCAGAGTGAAATGAACACCCCATGAAATATAGTTCGCCTCTATAATAAATCGTTAGTTACCGTTGCAGCTTATGTTCTTTTAAGAAGCAGAAAGAGGTATATTAACGTTTTCCTTCAGTGCATGTAATGTGGAAAACTTAAAGTCTTTTCTTGGCTCTTGCACCTTGAAAATGTATTTGGAATATTTCAGCCAACAAAGAACTGCAACTCCTTGAAAAAGAAAGAAAGGCCAGGCTCCAGTATGAAAAAAATTTGGAAGAAAAGCAGCGAAAGCTAAAGGAACAAAAAGAGAAGGATGAGCGGCGAAGAGTGTCCGCCGAAGAGAAAAGGAAGCAAAAATTAGAGGAAGAAAGGGTATGTAATGTTGTCGCATGTTCATCTGATGATAGACACTGTTCTCTGGGTGTGAAATACTGTTTTCTCATCGCCCCTCTGCACCTTTCCCGGCCTGTGCAAAGGGAAGCAGTCCCTGTCCTGCCTCTTTTTGTCCTTTCCTGATAAGGGCCCAGGTGGGATACCTGTGGTCTGGGGTTTGTGGGAGCGTTTCTACTGTAAAGCGCAGTCACTCTTGCCCCAGTGCCTAGAGACTAAGGGCGGCCACCCCCACCCCACCCCACCCCTTGACCTGCCCGTCCAGCTGATTTCGCCCAGGTCCTCTAACTGTAACCCCTTATGCCAGTCAGCACTTTGTCTTCCTTCCGTGCCCTCTGCTTCTCTCTCGTGTGTCCTATGGCTCCCTCCCGCCCTGTGCCGGCCCCTCCGTTGCTCAGGGTCCCTTTCCTCCCGGCCCCTCTGCACCTGTGATTCACAGTCAGCACTCTGCGTCTTGTTTCATGGCACTGCCTCCCTCTTTTCCTCTCGCCGTGTTTTTGGTGCCATTGGCACGCTGTTGGTATGAACCAGTAGCTTTGTTATACCCTTTCCTTTTCCCTTCTGTGTCTGTTCAGTACGTTTGCCTTTTATTCTTTATGCCGGGCATCTGGCTCCCTTACCTCACCACGTGCACTGTTCCTCTTGACACTAAATGTTTCTCTTGTTGGGCATTCTACTCCTTTCCTGTGAGTACGCTTGGCCCCTTCTGCCTCAGGCGTGTGTTCTCAGGTGCCAGCTCTGTCTCTCATTCCAGTTACCCTACCTGCTAGTCTCTCAGGATGTATCTCTGTCTCTCTCTCTGTCTCTCTCTCTCTCATTTTATTATTTTATTGATGAATTGATTTTTGGAGTGCTGGGACTTGAACCCAGGGTCTTGGCAGTGAGCTGCACCCCCAGCCCTTTTTTTGTAATTTCTTTGTTTTGTTTTCAGACATGGTCTCAGTAGGATGCGCGGGCCGGGCTTGACCATGTGATTCTCCTTCAGCCCCCCAGAGTGCTGGGATTTTAGGCTTGTGCTATCATGCCTGGCTTCCCCTTCTTATTTTCTATTGCTCTAATTTTAGTACTTCTTTTTCTCTCCTTTTCTTTTCAGTTCCACTTTTCCCCAAGGCATTTCTCTGTCTTTCTCTGTGGTGCTCACTTTTCTACCTTTCTGGTCCACACAGTTGCTCGCATAGGCCTCGCCCTGAGTCCTGTGCCCCGTCTGGAGATCTTGCCTCTTCTAGGCCTGCTCTTCTGCCATTTCTTCCCTGTCTGTGGTCCACTACCTCTTCCCCTCTGTCTTTCTGAACTTTTTTTATTGTTGGTTGTTCTCTGTGTGCTTCATGTTCCGGTACTTGGTAAAGTCTCATTCTGAATTTCTGTCACTTTCCGTCGTCTGCTGTTTAACATCTCCTTATTTTACTTCTGAGTGGTAAGATGAAAGCCAGAGGAGGAGAGTGGACAAAAGGAGGAGAGAGGAAGGAAGAGACAGACAGACAGAGGGAGGAAGAGAGTGAGAGAAAAGGAGGGGAGAAGGGAGGGAGTGGGATGGGAAAGGAGAGAATGAACTAAATAAAGGCAGCTTGAGAACCAAAAACTATAAAGTAGAAAACTATGCACAGAATGAGGGAGAGTCTCCTGGGAGAAGAGAAACAGCCCTAAGGACTGAGAGGAAAAAGGAGAACCATCTCAGTAAAAGAGGAAGCCACAAGCGAGAAGAAAGAGAAGAGGATGTAATAAAATGGTACTGCAGACGGAAAAGGCGCCGGGGACATGTGGAGAGAAGCAGCAGAAAGCCAGAGAAATGGTAGAAGAGGATCCCTGAGAGCTGATGTGGGCGAGGGGGCCTGGAACACAGCAAGCAGGCGAGGCGTGGAAAAAAGAGAGGAGTTCGGAGAGCAGGGAAGAAGGGGAGTATGGAGAGGGGGGTACGTGACACAGCCTCAGGACACGCATGTGAGCCGTGGGTGCCGCAGGTGCAATTAGGAATGTGAAAGGGTGCGGAGGGTTAGTGCATTTGAAACCAGTGGGACAGAATTCTTACAAACCAGAAATGTTTTAATGAGGCAAGGGTCATCTCTTCTTATATAGTTCCAGGGTTTCTAAGTAATTTAGAATAACTCACTTTCTGTTAGAAAGTATAATTTTCAAATATTGTCATCAGATCAATTTGATTTATTTTGCTAGTAGTTCTATATTTGCCCTCAGAGAAATGGTGGGGACATTTTGTGAACAGTGTTGCAATGAAACCATTGCTAGGGAAGAATAAAAAGTGTCCGGCCCTGAAGTTGCTGTGTTTTCTCAAGTACAGTCCATGGTGTATCACAGTACAGGGATGAGAACTATCTGAGCAAAGAATTCATTTCTGAAAAGTTTTTGCTGGTTTGATTTGTTTTGGTGCTGTGGATTGAAGCCAGGGCCTTGCACATGTTAAACAAATGCTGTCCCACTAAGCTACCACCTCAGGAAGTCGCAGAGCAACTAGTTAATGGAAGCAGCTTTTTCTTTTCTTTTTTCTTTTTCCCTTCCCCTCCCGTCCCCTCCTGTCCCCATCCTGTCCCTTCCCATTTCTTGTGATTCTGAGCTTGGGCCGCAGGTCTTTGTACATGATAGGCAAGCACTGTACTATTGAGCTACACCTCCAGCCCCACTGGAACTCATTTCTAGAAGTGCAGTTGTTCCGCTGCAGTGTGACATTTAACTTCTGTCATTATTCTCATCAGCTTCAGTTGCAGTTAAGATGAAGATGTCATTAGTTATCTTTGCTGAAACTTTACTGGTTAACACCAGAATTTACTTTTTACAGATACTGGTAGAATAAATTATTCTGTCATAAATTTCACTTACATACATGTTTTGATATTTCCCCCCCATTATTCCACCAAAAAATGTTAAGGTAATTTTTAATAATCTCTGTATACCACACTAGATGATAAAATCAGTGGTTTGGGGAATGAGGCGAGGGAGAAAGTTGAGGCAGGGAAATAGTAAAGTATGAGGTATTAGCATACGTGAGTGTATACCACTGGGTCTTTGTACAGTTACTAGAAACAGACTAAAAATTTGATTGTAAATTTCCTAGTATAGGCAAAGAGGGAACTGTGGTCAGTTCCCTGTTGCAAGATCCATAAAATAAAGTAGGTTATTCAGGGGAACCATTGGTATTGATTGACATCTGAAACATGTTTCCAATGATACGAAAAAAAAACTTATACCCGTTGAAGAAATTTGATGATTTGTTATTTGAAACATAAATCAAGATTATACTAACCCATCTAATGAACATATAAACATGTGTTGACATTTATTTTACATAGGAAAGACACAAAGCTGCACTTTCTCGTACTTTGGAACGAAGTAATCGTATGGATCAACGGCAAAAGAGATGGTCATGGGAAGGCTTGCCTGTGACAAATTCTGAAAACAATCATGGTAATCAATAATATAGTTGTCAGTTTTTAAGGTCATCAGTGTTCCTGTTTAAATATTGGCTGTGGATAGAAGGTTGCCCTTATAGCAAAGTTTTAATCTTTATGTCCTGAATGCAAATGCTTTACATACATAGTAAATTTATAATTAGCCGGGCATGGTGGCACATGCCTGTGATCCCAGCACTCGGGAGGCAGAGGCAGGAGGATTTTTGCAAGTCCAACACCAGCCTGGGCTACAAAGTGAGCTCAAGGCCAGCCTGAACTGCATATCAAGACCCTGTTTCAAAAAGAGGGAAAAAAAATATAATTAAATGTATGTCATATACCAGTGCAGAAGGAACAGGTAAGATTTTATAATGGATTTGAACTCAGTATATCCCAAATCTTACCTAAATTTATAATTAGCCTGAGAATAATGAATAATTACACACATTATGTCTGCCTTGGTTGGCATTGACTCACTATAAATTTCTCTACATGTGGACATAATTCTACACAATCTCATAAAACATAAGCTAAATTTATTAGTTTGTAAAGAGTGACTGACTGTGAACATCATGTGCCTAATTAATGTACGTGTATGCTCCATAGAACTACATCATGAAAAACTCATTTTGTTTCTGCTAATGATACTTGCTTGAAATATGATCAAGTATCATGTCTTAGTCAAGAAACAGTTTGTACCCACTGAAAACCTTCAACAGGACTCATCTGCTTTCATTAAACAATACCTATGTCATTTGCAGGTTTTCACATTTCTATTGCAAAGACTACGTAGTTATTTCACGTATTCTGCTGAATTTCAATTTAAGGGAATCATTTATATGTATTTTTACAGTGCTGCTTATTTAAGTTATGGAATACTACTTTTTTTGTTTTTTTTTCCGGTACCGGGAATTGAACTCACGACCTTGCACCTTTACCAGGCAGGGGCTGTGCCACTTAGCTAAATCCCCAGCCCCCATTACATTTATTTTAAAAGCATGCCATATTAATTTATGGTAGAGAGAGACTCTTATTTTATATTTTCATCAATATAAATCCTTGTACCATGTTTATTTATTTATTTATTTATTTGAGACAGGGTCTTGCTATGTAGTTCAGGCTGGCTTTGAACTCACTGTGTAGACCAGGCTGGCTTCCAACTTGTGGTAATCCTCTTGCCTCAGCCTCCAGAGTACTGTGATTACAGGCATGCACCACCACAGCCAGCACCATGATTTTTTATTAATCATATCAGATGAGCTTGTTGGCCTCAGGTAGCTCAAACTGAAACTTACTTTGGCCAAAAGACAGCCATTAAGTGGCATAATGATTTGTTTTGCTTTTAAGTTAACTCGTATCTAGCTAACATAAATAAAATTGTGTTTTCTAAGGTGTAGTCATTCAATTTCCATTAAATATTATGATTACTTTATTTAAGGAAAACAATCGCATATATGTACCACTGGACAGGTTGGTCCGCTTTACATATATTGTATTTGTTATCCATCACAAACTTATAAAATTGACAGGCAGGTATAATTATCTTCTGTGTTTTATAGTTAACACCTCAAGAAACTGATTTCTAGTTTGACATGCTTTTTTATGGTTTTATTTTGATCATTTAATAGGTAGATCACAATATTTAAATTGTATCTTTCACTCAAAAGTCTGTTTTTTCCCTCAGAACAAATAAATGCTTGATGATAGCTCTGTTACCAAGCTCTACTTTGTAACTCTTCATAGTAACATATGTATAACTCTTTATAGTATACATATATACTCCATATAACATATGTATAACTCTTCATAGTAACATAGTAACTTTGTAACTCTTCATAGCAATGTTGTTCTAAACAAAGTGAAGTTGTCTACCAGTGATACTTCAAAACCTTTATAGTTTTTCTTGTTTGCCTTTTGTTAGTATTTCTCATTTTGAAGCAGTATGTACCTGAGTGTGTATCAATGGCTATTTCTGGCTTGTAGCACATGATGCTTCTTATTGGTAATTAAAATGTTTTAAGGAACGATATCCATCAAGCTAGAGGGGAAAATCCTTTTTATTTCTGGAGGAAAAAATAGGTATGATCTTGGCAACAAAATCACAAGGAAATCTACATCATTCTCTACAACTGAGCCATTAAAAAATATGAAGATAGCTGGCGTGGTGCTATGCACCTGTAGTTGCAGCTGCGCGGGAAGCTGAGGCAGTGGGATCGCTTGAGGCCTCGGGGTCAGAGCCAGCATCGGCAACTTAACTGAGACCCCCACCTCAGGACCAAAGATAAAACAATACTACTTCAAATAATAGTTTGAATCTTAGAATATTTCTTTTATATTACTAGTTGCCTTGACCTTTTTCTTGAGCAATGTTGATGACTATAAAATTCTAATACTCAAAAGATTCTGGGCAGTATCTGTTGGACAAGTATAATTAATTAAGTTAGCAGTGGCTAATTTAGTGGAAAAGATTTCTGCTTTTGTCTAAAACAATGTTATAATTGTAACATGTTGGAAAGGATTTCTGGGGCAAAAAGGTTTTCTTTTGTTCAAGCTTACATTATATTGCTTGAACTTTTAGGGCTCTTGCTGTTGCAGCGATGAGCCTGAGAGGTCTTGGATTTTGTTGCCAGTCTGAGTTCATCATGTTTTCTCTTGTAATAGTCTGAGTTGATCCACTTAGCACGCCCACCCTCACTGTGCTTTCCCAAGCTCTTTTGTGTATAGCCTAGGTTCATTCATAGATTAATGGAGGAAGTGTGTCTCTAGTACCTTGCTTGTCCCATGGTAAAATTAATTTCTTGTCCACCAACCTAAATCCTCCAGAAATATTAGGTAACATTAATTGCAATGCCGTGTTTATATACTTTCATTCTAATACATCTTAGTTGTTCCACAGCAGTTAACCGTTTCACTGCCTAATTCCTTTCAGGGACCACCAGAGATTATTTGAATGAGCAAACAGTAGTACGCTTTCATTAATATGTCTACTTGTCATATTAATGAGGCATGAAAAGGGACAGATGATGACTTTGAAGGTTATAATTAGCTAAATTGCACTGAAGGAGTAATTCCAAGTAACTGTTTAAATAATTTCTTTACTAGTTTTTAATACAAGGTGTATGTGGAAGATGCTTTGAAGTAATTCACTTAAAGGTAAAGTATGGTGCACACTCTGAAGTGATGAATACTGTAATTAATGATTCCAGAAAAATCTCTTTAAATTGAAATGAAACCTATTCAATCCAAAGAGATCAACATCCCAAACTGAAATGAAATTTGTAATCTAACATATAATATCTTAAATAACCCTGTTTTAAATTTTGGTTGATTTATATAGTCTGTTTTTCTTCTTTCTTCTGTTTTTCTTCTGTTTTTTAGTACAGCGCCGCCTCATAATAACTGTTCACACTATTTTGTCATTTCTTGCAGTATGCTAATGAAGGGTACAAGACTTAACCACCTTTGAATCACTTACACTTCTGTGATTCACGCTGCACAGTCACATTACCTTTTTAAGCATTTTTTTGAAATCACACTATACTGCCAACATGTACTAAGTTCACAAGTCCCCAAAAGAGAATTTCTCTTTTAAACAGACATTGCTGGAGTATTTCAGGTAAAATGGACAGGTGTCTGCACTTAAGAAGGGTTGCTTAAGTTGTGACAACTGTACCAAACGTTAGTACTCAATTTGGCTTAAAAAAACACTAGTGGGGATATAGCTCAGTGGCATAAGCACCTGCCTAGCAAGTGCAAGGTCGTGAGTTTGGATCCCCGGTACCAGGAAAAAAAAAAAAAAAAGACTAAATATTTACCGCAAAAAAAATTAAAAAATAAAAAAAACACTAGTTATGACTAAGGTATAAATTTTAGTATTAGACATCATGGATAACATTTTACATTAAAGGTTTTATATTCCTCATTTGGGAACTTGGTTGTTGTTAAATAATATCAGACATTTTCCCTGTTAATTCTTGCGATTTTCTAAGTAACTTTTTCATTTCAGGTAACAAAATGTAAACCAGTTCTCTGCACAATATTTGAAATTAAATAAATTCGTACAAACAAGGGTAGAGCTTATTTTTCTAAAATTTTGAAAAGACTAATGACTCCTTCATGAAATAATATATTTAAGTAATTTTTGACAAGTAATTCTCCTTTATACTTGATCTCTAGGCAAGTCAGAAAATAAGAGAAGCTCATCTCTGAGCAGAAGAGACAGCAAAATACATTCCTCTAATGACACAGGACATACGGAAGATAAACCAGGTGATTAGTTATGTTTAAGCATAAATCCTTACGAAGTAATTTAGAAAGAGGTATGTTTCTGCTAATCTGAAAAGCTTTAAAAAGTAATTCCCAAAACTGGAAGCCAACATATCCCTTCTTGAACTAAAAAAGTATGCAATGGTGCCATGCTTATCTGGCAGAAGCCAGAAAAGTCTGTCTTTAAATGAAGTATACGCTTCCTGCCATCAGTTGACAAGGGGTGTGTAATGAAGCTGAAAAACTAAATTACAAAATGTTGTTATAGATGGATAGGATTTGTACTGGACGATTTGATTCTGTTCCGACATTGTATTGGTTTGTGTTCGGAAAGCATAAATTACCGGCAACATTTTGGATGTCAGCGCTTTGCTCTGTTGCTTCATAACATTACCTGCATAGATCTTTTGTGCATGATTTCACAGCTGATTATTATACAAAAGTATATAATTATTACTAAAGTACTTCTTCATTTAGTTTTTTAAACCTTTCCCCCTAGCATGTTCCTTTCATCTGCATTTGTTGATTTTTGTTTTACACTGATCATTTATTTACAGAAGAGCCTACTTAATTGATTCAGGTTCAATGCTATTGGAACAAATGCTGTTGTCACAGGGATCTTTATGAACATAAAGATTTATTGGAACAAGATATTTACAACAAATTTCACTTTTGACGAAAGAATTCAGTGAATGCCTGGGAACTTTTGGCAGTGAATTTTTGGCTGTGGACTGGCTTATCATAATGATTGTCAGTGGTGTATATTTGTAAGAATTGCAGAAAAAGTTTTTCCACATGCGATTTTTTTCTTCATGTGTGAGTTCCCCCATAGAGACTCCATAGTGTGGGAATTGTTCTGTTAAGTACCTTACCTACGTTTCTTCCTTACATTATGCTGTGACCATGCCTGCTTCATTCATAAGTATCTTCCTGACATCTGTTCAGATGGCAGTATCCAATCCTATTATGTTGTTTTACTGGGAATGTTACCATTTTTGTAGCAGTTCATATTGCTCATGCTCGCTTTGCCTTTATTCGTATGTGAGACCTCAAAATGAATGTTTTCTGATTTGATTTGTTCTCCTCATGTAGCTCATCACTTTCATAATAATACTCCAGAAAATAATTTAATCAGTCGTCTCCTCATCCCCACAAAAGCGTCGGTGGCCAGAAGCAAGAGTGCTGCTTCATTATCCATCCCAGGCAAAGAAAGTCCAGGTGCCGATCATATTGTACAGTGCTTGAAAGTATTAGTGTTTGTACTTCGGAAGTGGGCTCTATCACTTGATTTGTTGCATTTAGTATTCAAAATAATTTGAATCATTAGTTTCCAGACTTTTCGCATGGTAGAGAAATCTGAGCGGTGGGTGATTTATACGGTAAGATAGCTATCTTTGGTGGTTATTATGCCTTGTGTCTAGAGTCCGCAAAAGCCTTATGCAGTCATAGGTGGGGCTTGTTCAGAGGTGGCTGGATCTACAGTATGTGATGCTGGGATTGATTCATGATGCAATGCTAAGCTCAAGGGCACTAGGATTAAGGGTGTGAGTGCTACTCACCCCAAGTAGCCTGGATAAGGTATGAGGGATAGAAAGAGCTGTGGTCGTCTCCCTTGCTTGCTTGCTCTTGCTGTCTTCTGCTTGCCATGGACTGTTTCTCATCTGCGGTGCCCCTCTGCCAGGCTGCTCTGCCTTAGAGCCAGCCAATTATGGGCTGAAACCTCTACCAACTGTGAGCTAAATAAAACTTTTCCCTTTTAACTTTGGGTGTCAGGTGTTTTGTCTCAGCAATGAGAGAAAAGTAAGGCAATGATGGTTGTTAAATTTTAAGGCTCTATGGATTTTAAAAATGTGGAAAAACTTCATTAATATCAAAGAAGAAAGTTTCCTACTCTTCTTTTTTCCTAAAATATGGAAGCATAATTTTGAATCCACTTTCCAGCTTTTTAATTAGGGGCATAAAAATTGTTAGTAAGCCAGGAGTGGTGGCACATGCCTGATATCCCAGCACTCGGGAGGCAGAGGCAGGAGGATTGTTGTGAGTTCGAGACCAGCCTGGGCTACAAAGTGAGCTCAAGGCCAGCCTGAACTGCGTAGTGAGACCCTGTCTCAAAAAAAGACAAAAAAATTGTTAGTGAAATCACACACATTTCTTCAGGGTTACGTGGCCTTTCTCATTCATATGTTACTTATAGGGTTAGATGGACCTGTAGATAGCAGTAGCAAGGTACTCCCAGTAATGGGAAGCTCTAATGCATTGTCCTCATTATTTTCCCCCTCTGCTTTTTCCTTTCCAAAATATGTCCTGCCTTTTTTGCTTTTTTCCCCTGTCATTATTCATATGAGTAACAAAATGAATCAAAACGTTATCATAGGGCCAGGGATATAGCTCAGTGGCACAGTACCTGACTGGAAAGTGTGAGGTCCTGAGTTTGATCCCCAGTACTAAAAAAAAAATGCTATCATAGCCTTCCTTTTAGTACAGACTTTCTGCTTTTGCTTCTGATTTCCAACATTGTTTATGCCCAGTTACATGTATATCAGATTATTTTCTGCCAGTCTTCCCCACCACCAATCTATTGGAAGACTTTTTGTCACTTTTGTTTTAGTTTAATGGATCACCACCGTCAAAAAACTCAATATGTTGCCTTAAATTTCTATAGCTAATCATAATAATAACTTAGTCATTATACTTACATGTACTACATGTTCTGTAGTACAAACTGTTGATGTTAATTAAGAGATTGTTTACATACATGCAGATACGTAAATGGGTTAAAATAACAAGTTAAAGTGTTATTCATATATAGTCAATCTTTGATCATTTATTCTAATTATTTAATGAGCTCATGTGAAAATTTGCCATCCATTCTTAAAGATAAGGTAATGAATACATTTACTAAGTTGTAAGAAAGCCACTACCAGATACCTTTTAAAAAATGTTTGTTATATAAACAGTAAATATTTAGCACAGAAAAATGTTTTAAATGTAATGTTCCTGCTACCCCAGTCCTCACTGGTAATAGTAATTTGATTTGCGTTTATATTTTTTTCACAAACTGAGATAACCTACCTTTGTTAAATTTAATGTATACCATTTTCTATATCCAAAAATTGCTTGTTATATTCATGACTTCCTTAGTGTAGTCCAAGTTTTTTTGTTGAGTATTTGAATTATATTTTCAGCTGTTTCAATATTATAAACAATGGTAGTTAGCAACCTCATATAGACACTTTTATGTATTTTTCTTTCGTTTGCTAAGGATAAACACAGAAGTAGAAATACTAGAACAAAAAAAAACCTTTTTAAGTGGCTCATGATATATATTGCCAAAATGCACCCTAAGGAGAATATACTAATCTATATTCCTACCAGCAATATATGAAGTTACCCGGTTCCAACTCTTGGAATTACCATTTTCTTCCATCTTATTTAACATGGCATATGAGCAGTTTTGTCCATTTCCTAGGCAGAAGTAATTTGCGTAGTTAAAACTGGAAGAGACATTGGAGGTCCTGTCCTTCTGAGTGTCTTGGTACAGTTTTTAGTATGGTGAGAAACTCTTCCTTAATTCTGTTCTGAAACAAATCAAGTATGGAGTGTCTTATATAACCCCTTGTAATGATAACACCTGTAGCCCAGCGAAGAGGTTCAAATTGCTTTTAGAAAGTGTTGAAGATCTTGCAGTTTTCGTGCAAACCAATCTGAAATACAGTATGGTTCAAGTAGAAAAGGCTTATTGCAAGCATCAGTTTTGCAGAAGCATCGTATTTTCATCTGTACCAGGCCATTGTTGTCACAGCAACTCTGCTGTCAGTGTTGCTGCTGCAGTACTAACGTCATCCTGGTTGTGTCTGTGTCCGTGATGCCTTTCAGTGAATACTCGCTGTGCTGTGTGTAATCCCTGTGATTTCCTGACAGTCTCTTTTACCTGCTCCTTTTCTTATACTGTGTCTGTAGTGTTCTTAATCTTTTCAGATTTTTAACTTTATGAAATTTTATTTTCTGTCCTCATTTACTACAGGCTTGAACAAAAAGTTTATACTACAATATGTACCTGCACCCTTGCAGAGCCATAGTAATGAAGTGTTGAAAACTTCCAGCATGCACTGCAAGTCGGCAGTGAAAATGCCTCCACAGACAAAAGTAGACCTGGCTGCCCTGGAGAAGGTAGAAACACCCCTCAAGGCAAAAATGAAAACTTCTCCCACATCATCTTCTGTGACAGGCAGGGAAGAACTCCCCAAGGTGAAGCTGGATGGTACCCCCAGGGTGAGTGTGGACATAACCACTGCAGTGAGCTCAGTGAGCTCGGAGGCGACCCCCGCAGTGAGCTCTGAAGCGACCTCAGAGGCGATCCCCGCAGTGAGCTCAGAGGCGACCACCGCAGTGAGCTCAGAGGCGACCACCGCAGTGAGCTCAGAGGCGACCACCGCAGTGAGCTCAGAGGCGACC